AAAAAAAATAAAAATACACTGTCTTTTTATTCTGTTTTCCCACACATTTCTGAAGCCCTCCTGTATCACATATAGTCTTTATTGATCTAAAGCATGTACTTTTAGGCAAACGCCATTAGGCAATGAGCTAGAATCATGTTTTGTTTTAATGCACCTTTATCAGACAGTCAATATGTGTAGGCACTTAATTGTGTCAACGGGAATTAGTACATAATATGATTACAAACAGCACCCTGGATGCTGTCGGGTGGTAGTGTGTGGGGGAGAAACAGCTGTTAATGCTGCCAAAATAAAGCAATTTCACTCTTAACCTTTTGCGTTTCTTTTTCACAGGCCCAGTGCTTTTGCAGCAGAGAAACGCAATGGGGGAGTTACCCTTGGATTATGTGGCATCGCCTCAAATCAAGGAGGAGCTCTTTGCTGTTACAAAAATAGAAGACACCGTGGAGAACTTTCATGCCCAAACAGAAAAACACTTTCACCACCAGCAACTTGAGTTTGGCTCCTTTTTGCTTAGTAGAATGCTGCTAAACTTTTGTTCCATTTTTGATTTGTCTTCAGAGTTCTTCTTAGCTTTCAAAGGGTTAACTCGTCTCAACGAACTGCTTGTAGCCTGTCAGAGTTATAAGGAAACCACCAGTGCTCACACTGACTGGTTATTGGACCTTTATAGTAGAAATATAAAGACATTGCAGAAGCTCCCCAGTGTTCTTAAGGAACTGCCTGAGAATTTGAAAGTGTGCCCTGGAGTGCACACTGAGGCCTTACTGGTGACATTGGAAATGATGTGTCGATCAGTCACAGAGTGTTCATGAAAAAGCCCCAGAAATGAGTGCACTTTCTAAACCTGCTCAACTTGATGTGTCACTTATTAAGGACTTAATAGCTTAACAAGCATGACTTTCTTGTATTGATAGACAGTTTCGGAAACCATGCGAAGTTCGAAAAACCCTTAAAAGAATGTTGGTAGAACTGCAGCATGGGGCCTCTGACTTTTTCCAGTGTGTAAAATTTGATTCAAAGTAAACAATGGATTTGTATAAGATGTTCTGCTTTCGTGAATGTTTAATTTTCTCTGTTTTTAAAGTGATATTTATTTGTATTATACATGTAAATCTTTTTTTAAAGAAATTTAAGTACCCCCCCCACACACACACACACACACAAAAAAGAAAGAAACGCCAGTGTCCTCTCTCCTAAGGTCTAAGTCATAGAATCATGCCAAGGCTATCCATGCAGATGTGCACCTTTTAAACATGAAGTTACCATTTCTCTGGTCTACAGCTATTGGACTAAATACTCGTTTTAGTTTTGTGTGTTCCTAAAATAAATGTTTCTAAAATTTACAATAATAATTCATGTGGTCTGGTTTTTAAATGCAGTGAATATACAAGAGTCTGTCCGTGTATCCCTTCACCTGTTTTATTCAAGCAGCGCATGTACAAAAGTATTGACTCATGGCAGTGAGTTTGGGTAGGTACAAAGTGTTCTACTACTCCATGTAACTAATACTCTATAAGTGAAAACATTCTATGCTGAATAAGTTTTATTAAATATTAAGATTATAAGTGACAACTAAGTCATAGACTCGAAATTATCTAAAATTTTAATGTGCAGTATGAACATACTGAGCAGTACATTTTAATTTGCACTTTTTTTCCTAATAGCAATTCTTTGTAAAACCAAAAGAGGGTGTGGGGATAATAACCACTTTTGAAATTGGAGTTGCTTCACTAGGGAGAATAAGTTACATTGTGATCCAGCTAGAAAAGGAGCATTAAAACTTCCATTTAGCTTTTATGTAACTAATGTGATGATCTGGCAGCAATTAATCTGCTAAAAAAGCACACTTTAGTTTTATCTTGGAAATAGATCTTTGAACAAAATACAAATGCTCAGTTTTTATTACTGGGTTTATAATCTAAATTGAAAACAATTACAGTAGTATATCAGCTGGATAAAAATCAAAGCTTTTTTCTCCTTTTTAAGTTGGTAATTTGTTTCACACAAACTATCAGAAATATTAGTTGTCGCTAGTTGGCCTTCACATTTGACATCATGCAAATATCTTTGTGCACTTAGTCTGTCCATGTGTCAGAGAAAACATGGGGAAGGTGGCGAGTATCCAAGGGACATGCAAATACCTTCCCAGAGTGGGAAGTGCTTTCCCAGTAGATGAGTTTAAGTACATACTTATTCTAAGGAGTAACCACTTTCCTTGCCTTGTAAAGGTATTTGGGATGTTGTTTTCTTGGTAAAATTATATAAACTTAAAAGTATAGGCTTTTGACTTCAGTTTCAAATCCTTGTTTTGTTTCTGAATAGCTAAAGCACAACGTGTCTTTGCTATTTCAGTGTTGCTTATAGCCGAAAATCCACAAGTGGATGACTTTAACAGACAGAGATGTGTTTGCTCACAGGTTAGAAGGCTAAAAGTCCAAATTCAAATCTCCAATTTTAGTGGTAGACTGCCTCTCTCTGTCTGCTCAGGAGGGAGTTCCTTGTCTCTGAAGCTTCTGCCTGCCGATTCCTTAAGGCATCTCTAAGTGTCTTGATACCTATCTTACCCCATCTCTTGCTAGCTTGAAATTTTTATTTTATATCTTAATTTCAAAAGAGATAGACTGAATCAATATGCACCATGTTCTAACCCTGCCTCATTAACACAGCAAAGAACCCCTTCCCAAATGGGGTTGTAACCACAGGCATAGAGGTTAGACACATATTTTTGGGAGACATTATTGGATTTATAATATCCTACCCTTTGTTTCCCTCTCCAAAATGTATCTCCTTGCCATGTGCAAACTACATTCACCCTATCTCATCACCCAAGTTTTACATCAATTCCACACCAAAATCTTATCTTCTGAATCAATTAAATTGAATTTGGATTGAGAAGAGGCATACTCCATCCTGAAGAAAAAAAACTCCTCTTCACCTATGAACCTGTGAAATCTAGAATTTAAGTTTTCTGTTTTCAAGGTACAGTGGTAGAATAGACACACGGTAGATATTTGCATTACAAATGGGAGAACTTGTAAGCAAAGAAGAGTTCATGGGCACCAAGCAAGAAACCACAGTAGACAATATTGCATTAGTTCTCTGGATGTGAAAATAATCTCTTAAGATCATTTGGGCAATGGCCCCCACCCGCCCAACCTTGGGTATTGGCCATGACCTGTGTCTTCTGGGTAGTGGCCCCTTTGCTACAGACTAGACTTCAATGCTGCCTGCCAGGTCCTCTTGGATAGCAGCAACTCTGCTCACAGCTTTAGGCAGCCCCATTCTAGTTCATCTCAGTGGTGACCCTCTTCCTTTAGCCCCAACAGCCCCTGTTCTACCCCTTGGGCTTGCCGCCCCAGACCCTCAGCTTTGGACAGTAACCCTTACCTTTGACACACTTTAACTGAAGCCTTTCATTCTGGAACGAAGTTGGTGAAGATCCACCTCAGAATTGTAGGAGGCTGTGCTTTGAGATCCAAGAGACTGTAGCCCCATCCTTGAAACCAAGAAAGCTCAGCTTCCAACAATTCCTTGCAGTAGTTCTGCTGATCTTGCTACTGGAGGGATGGTCCTTTTTTAGGAGAAAAGCAGATGTAGCTTTCTTGCTTAGAGAATTCTAAGAGGCAGATATTTTATAGGTAAATAGGCTGAGGTCCAAAGTGCCTAATTGACATATCCCAGGGTCATGTTGTGAGTGACTATCCCTTTGTTCCAGGTCACCCTTACACAAATAATTTCCTCAAGATTTCAAAGAGTTCACAGTTCGTCAACTATAATCATTTGAAATGCTTCCCTGTATAACTCATTCTACAGGGTCTAAAAGGAACCAATATTGAATGTATTACAAATATTACAGGTGATTTTTAAAAAGGAAAAAGAAATCTCCATGCTTCAAAGCTTTATAAGTTAATTGGAAAGCTAATAAATAAATAGAGAAAAGAAAGCCAAGTGCTTGATAATTTATTTTATTTTTTTAATTTATGCCCTGTGCCCTTCCTAATTCACCAGTGAGGTTACTGCCCTGTAGTTGGTTAGAACCCTGAATGTTCTAACACATGTCCTTAAAATTGTGTTCTGTTTTCATTTTGAAGTTTAAGTCCTTTCTTTACATTTTATTATTATAAACAGCAAAGTAACGCCGTGCAACCTCTTTAAGAACTTGTTTCTAATCTTGTCAGCCAGATGACAAAGTTCCTCTCGTATAAGTTCTACCTTCTGACAAACATTTGACCCTAACTCAAACTAGTTCTTTGCTACTGCAGAAAAAAAAATGATCACACCCTTCCTCCATTGTACACCTATATGTTTATCACTTCCTTGTAGAAGGTTACCAGGAGCACATTGGATGTCCGCACTTTTATCAATATTCTCTTGCTGGTGCCCTCTGTATTCTCAAAGACAATAAATAAGAATACTTTGTACCTCTTGCAGTAAATGGTTCTGGAATTGGGGGGTAGGGTGGGGGAAAGTGGCTGGCCATATCATATCCCTATTGCCAGGAGGCAGGGATCAGACATGCCTTCCATCCTTCTGACACCAACTATTCCTCCCATGGCACTCTACTTTTATGCTGGGTTAGTAATTCTTTACAATGGCCACACAGAGCTCACAGACAATATTCACAATTATGGGGGTTGTTTAAAAAGTTATTAGTTCCTACAGGGCAGGATCAGTAAACACTATAATCATTGGTCCACAGCAATAACCTCTCAACCAGCACCAGTGTCTCTGGACCTCGGCCTCTCCGGCACGCGGTCCCATGGCTTTTGCCTATGTGGGCCAGGAAACCAGCCTGCAGCTCGACCTCCCAGTCTCACAGCCTCACCAATAAAGAACAGGGACCCCAGAGTCGTGGGCTGCTCCTCTGAGTCTCCATGCCAGAGTCTTTGGTGCATCTGGTCTTAGTGGCCTCCGCCACAGATCTCGGGAGTACTTTTCCAATAGTCTTCTCTTTTTTCCCTGTGTCCCAGATGGCTCTCAGATTCTGAGGAATGTCTTTGATGGAAGTGTGGTTTTGTCTTTTAGCCAACGATGACCCAAGGAAAACAAAGGATGGTGTCTTAAATCACACTCTAGTAAAGTCAAGCACACAGGATGTGTGGTTTGGTTCATATCCTCTACTAAGGTCAGGACTGAAGCTCACCTTCATGCTTTAACAGAAACAGACTCACTGCCCTCAAGTCAATACTGACTCATAGTGACCCTATAGGTCAGCGCAGAACTTCCGCTATGGGTTTCCGAGATGGTAGCTGTGGGATTAGAAAGCCCCATCTTTCTCCTGCAAAGTGGCTGGTGGATTTGAACTGCCAACTTTAAGATCACAGCCCAACTCATCCCCACTTTGCCACAGAGTTCAGGATTGTAATATACCACATTCAGAATTATGGCTAGAAGGGCTATATTAATTGACTACATCTCACCTCTCCTCAGTTCCTTCTGAGCCCTCAACAAAATTGCCTCTGACATAATTGTACCAACAGTCTCTCAATCTAGGCTTTTTAAAAATTTTTTATTAAAAGATCATTTTATTGGGGCTCTTAAAACTCTTATAGCAATCCATACATCAGTTGTAGCCAGCATACTTGTACATATGTTGCCATCATTCTTTTCTAGACATTTACTTTCTATTGAGCTAGGCTTTTACTATTATTTGTTGCCATTGGAGTCAGCTCACATTCATAGCAGGCCTGTGTACTACAGAAGGAACATTTCCTAGCCCAGCACCATCCTCATAATTGTCCCTGATTGAGTCCATTGGTGTAGCCACTGTGTCCATCCATTTCCTTGATGATCATCATTTTTGTGGATCCTGTACTTTTTACCAAGACATGTTTTGCTCCAGGGTATGATCTCTCCTGATAACATGCCCCAAGTTCATGAGAGAGATCTCACCATCCTGGCTTCTAAGGATCATTCTGGCTATACCTTAAACACCAATGTGTTCATTCTTCTGGTTCCCACTGGTAGGTTTAATAATCTTCACCAGTACCATACTACAAAAGCATCAATTCTTCTATCTTCCTTATTTATTAACCCGCTTGTCATCCATATGAGGCAATTGACTCCACGACTGGGTCAAGTGCACGCTAGTCCTCAAAGTGCTATCTTTGGGGTGGGGGTGGGGGGTAGAGATGTGGCTTTCTACTCTCGTAAAGAGTTAAAACCCTGGAAATCCTCAGGGGCATTCTACTCTACCCTAGTGGGTCAGAATTGACTCAGTGGCAGCGAGTTTGGTTTCGGTTTAGCTTCTGACTCAGAGCAGCATTCAAGCTATCACAGTATGGTAAACCGGCAGACAGTGGTGGCTTTACTCTTCTCACTGCCCTGAGGTTTATTCTGACTCATAGTGATG